ATTGTAAATTTTGGTCAATGACATGAGACAAAGTATATGTGAACTGCTGTATGAAAAGTGAATTTACTCTGTAAATCTTCACCCAAATCCTAACAAAAAAAAAAAGAGTTAATGTGAGGAGAATTATTAAAATGATTATAAAACAGCAACAATAAATCTTAAAAAAAAAAACAACTCAAAGACAAAAGTTCCAGAGGCATACACATTGTATTTCTAGAGACATCAATACACACTTATTAATTAGTAAAAACAAAAAACTACTATAGAACATGCAGTGTTACACTCAGTTGAAAAGGAATTTTATTGTCCAGTAGAGAATATGATTTAGAATAGGTCATTCTTTTCTATTCATTTGTAACTTAGCACAGTCTTCTGAAATATCCATTATTTATTTGTTGTCCCTAAAGGCAACAGTCTTCATTTACATGAACATATCACAGATGTATTCAAGAACACTGTGTTTTAGAAGGAAAAGGTAATAACATACATATTTTAATGTGAGACATTACATAATATGCAGAGTAAATGTTTAGGAGTTTCCAAGTTTTAACCTAAAACAAAAGTCTGCTTATTACCATCACAAAGGAAGATAATCGCGAATGGAACTTTAAGAAACAGTATTCACAACTTTTACTTCCCATTCTCTACCAAACAGACATAGTCTGATGAATATTCATAAAGCATGCCTCATAAACCTAGCATAGGACTTTTCTAATTCTGTCCCCAATCGTGTGAAACCCTTCCTACCAATCTATTGACCCAATCTCTTCATTCTGCATTCTCACTGATCCCTTTAGTTCTGTTCCCATTCATTTTGATACCTCTTCCAAACTTTCTAAATATGAGTATCCAAACCGTTGCCATTGAGTTGATATAGTCTGGTGCAAAGTACATCTGTTTTGTCTGCTCAAAAGACTTCCTTCCTTATTTTTAGACCCAATTTTTTTAAAAGGACCAATATAAGATATGTGTTAGAGAACCAATATGTTACCTGAACCTCAGCCACAACTTCCTGTTCATCAGCTTCAGCCAATGACTTCACATCACTCTTGCTGATCACATTACTGAAATCTGAAACAGACATACAAGTTGTGGTTGACTCAAAGGAGATCATCTCTGCTGCAATTAGACATAAGTGAGCCTGACAGTTGAAGCCTAATAAATAAGTGAAGTTTAGTATAAAGCACATAATGGCATATGTAAAAGTAAAAAATTTTCAAATTGGAATGAACAGCACAAATATGTTTAAATTCATAAACTCTTAGTAATAGTAACCAAAAAAAAAAAAAAAGAAAAACCTCCAGTGGAGGACACTAGGGAACAAAGTCATATTGACAATAGTAAATAAAGGGAAAGAAGTAAGTTTTAACCTGCCTTTCATATACAAACTGTACCACTGGGCAACGAAATACTAGATGAGGGCAATTTCTCTTTATAGAATATTCCAGCTAAAACAAAGAGGGAAGATAATAACAGAATTCGAGTAACACCACTTTTTTTTCAATCCCCAATGAACGAATGATTCCAGGCATTGAGCATAAACAGATGCTAATATCACAATAAGAGGCAACCAGTGGAAACATGCAACATCACCTGCAAAGTATTCTTGCCAAAAAGAAACGAAATCTGAATCTAATTAGGTCTCTCTATCCAACTACTATGCAGCGTCCAGTTGAAGAGTAAGGTATGCCTGACCTAAGCCATGGTATTTTCAATTGCCTCATATGCATGTGCAATCTGGACAATGAATAAGGGAGACTGAAAAAGAACTGATGCATTTGAATTGTGGTGTTGTCAAAGAATACTGAAAATACCATGGACTATCAGAAGAACGAACAAAACTGTCTTGGAAGAAGTGCAGCCGGAATGCTCCTTAGCGGCAAGAATGGCCAGACTTCATTCATGTACTTTGGTCCTGTTGTAATAAGGGCTGGTCCCTGGAGAAGAATATGCTTGGTAAAGTAGGTCAGCGAAAAAGGGAAAGATCCTCAGTGAGATGGACTGGCACAGTGGCTACAACAATGGGCTCAAACCACAGCAAGGACTGTGAGGATGGCACAGAATAGGCAGTATTTCATTCTCTTGTGCATGGGGTTGCTATAAGTCAGAGCTGACTCGATGGCACCTGACAACAACATCAACTGCCACTTAGACACCTGGTGGTGTAGTAGTTAAAGTGCTTGGCTGCTAACCAGAAGGCCAGCAGTTTTTACATTAATTATAATATGCTACAATATAATAATAAATACAATACATTAAATAGAGTCTGCTTCTTTAAAGATTTACAGTCGTGGAAACTATGGGCAGTTCTACTCTGTCCTATACAGTCACTAGAAGCAGGAACTGACTCAACAGCAATGGGCTTTTTTTTAATTAATTTTTACAGATGCCAAATGCCACATCTTTCTCCTGCAGAGCGGGTGGTGGGTTCAAACTAGCAACCTATCGATTAAGAGCCAAGTGCTTAAATACTGCACCACCAGGGTACTAAGCCGGAATAGACTCGATGGCAAAGGCTTTGAGTTTTATTTTTTTAAAATCCTATAAAGATCAACAAGGGGCTTTGGTGGTGCTGTTGTTAAGGTATTTGGCTGCTAAGCAACAGGTTGGAGGTTTAAACCCATTAGCCACTCTGCAGGAAAAAGATGTAGTGGTCTGGGGCTTTAGAGATGGATAGCCTTGGAAATCCTATGGGGCAGTTCTATTCTGTCCTAAAGGGTCACTGTGAGTCAGAATCTACTTGATGGCAGTGGGTTTGGTTTGGGTTATAATGATCAACAATGACATCTAGAGGACAAGACATGTAACTTCCAAAACATATATACATATTTTTAAAAATCCATATAAAATTGTATACCTCAATTCGGAGCTGATTTTTTAATATGGGAGGAAGGTATACTTGGTTTGTTGGAAAAGCAAAGATTTTTTTTACATACCAGATGAAATCATTCCCTCTCTCTTTGGTACTTTATGTGATACTTGAAAATACAAGCCATCTTGGAGATACCTTTAATGTGCACAACTTTTTTCCCCCTATACCTCAGTTAGGGAGCTCTGGTGGCGTAGTGCCTAAGGCATTTGACTGCTAACCAGAAGGCTAATGGTTCAAACCCATCAGCCACTCCTCGGAAGGAAGGTTGAACAATCTACTTCCATAGTGATACCGTCTCGGAAATCCAAGGAGATCACTATGAGTCGGATCCAACTTGATGGCAGTGGGTTTTATACCTCAATTCATGAAAGTATAACACAGGAATATATGTACATATATTCCTGTACATATATATGTATATATATACATATGTACTTATGTTGTTGTTGTTGTTGTTATGTGCCGTCGAGTCAAACCCGACTCATAGCGACCCCTCCTTGGGTTTCCGAGGCAGTATCACTACGGAAGTAGGATTGCCCAACCTTCCTTCCGAGGAGTGGCTGGTGGGTTTGAACCGCCAGCCGTCTGGTTAGCAGGCAAGTGTCTTAGCCACTATGCTACCAGAGCTCCCTATGTACTTATATACATATATATACATACATACACACACACACATATATATACACACATATATAAAACAAAAAATACCAAACTCACTGTCATCTAATCGATTCTGACTCATAGTGACCCCTCCTTGGATTTCTGAGGCGGTATCTCCATGGAAGCAGATTGCCCAATCTTCCTTCTGAGGAGTGGCTGGTGTGTTCGAACCATCAGCCTTCTGGTTAGCGGTCAAAATGCCTTAGGCACTATGCCACCAGAGCTCCTTATCTCTATATATAGTATATATATTTTTCTGCAAATGTGGAATATGAAATTTGGCTACTTAAAACCTTGAGACTTGCAAAATATCTTGAAATACAAAGTAGAACTCAATATTATTAATTAATTTATTTATTTTACCTAAGCGATCAATGATAAATAGAAATCACTTTTAGCTCTCTGGAATACAATGTTGATCAGAAGATTTTTAATATTTTGAAAGGACATAAAAGAGTACTTTCATAGTGATGGATTCAATTAAGTTATTGATGATATGACATACTCAAGGGAGCATAGTGGCTAGGATGTTTGAATAGGTAAAGTAACATACTTACAAATAAAATATATACTATATTTGGGTCTTCGGAGCTCCTGAATCAGAAAATCCACATTTTCCTAGTAAGGAAACAAAATAAATATGAGAGTTGTTTAAGTGAAAAAGTAGTATCATCTACTGACTTATCTGTTTACTGAGTCCACTGTGTGATGAGGTCTACATTAAATGTGTGTCTATTGGGGGGAGTGAATGTTGTGGATGAAAAAGATATAAAATATAATGATCAGAAATCATATATATGATTATTATATATCTTTATATATATGATTTCTGATCATTATATTTTATGTCTTTACACACACACATACATATATATGTTGTTGTTGTTATGTGCCCTCAAGTTGGACCCGACTCATAGCGACCCCTCCTTGGGTTTCCAAGGCAGTATCACTACAGAAGTAGATTGCCCCGGTCATTGCTTGGTCACAGCCAGCTACCCAGAGGGACCGAGTAGTTGATCCTGCGGGCTTGGGACCATGGCCGCAGGGGACATCAAGCTCAATTGGCATAACATACTATACAAAACATTGTTCCACCTACTACTTTGGCGAGTAGCGACTGGGACCTTAAAAGCTAGGA